TTAATGGTAGGTTTATTTGAACAGTGAGAGACAGAATAACAACAAAAAAATCCAGAGAAATGCATGACAAAAATGTTATGAACTGATTTGCATTTTAATGAGGGAAATAAGTATTTGACCCCTCTGCAAAACATGACTTAGTACTTGGTGGCAAAACCCTTGTTGGCAATCACAGAGGTCAGATGTTTCTTGTAGTTGGCCACCAGGTTTGCACACATCTCAGGAGGGATTTTGTCCCACTCCTCTTTGCAGATCTTCTCCAAGTCATTAAAGTTTCGAGGCTGATGTTTGGCAACTTGAACCTTCAGCTCCCTCCACAGATTTTCTATGGGATTAAGGTCTGGAGATTGGCTAGGCCACTCCAGGACCTTAATGTGCTTCTTCTTGAGCCACTCCTTTGTTGCCTTGGCCGTGTGTTTTGGGTCATTGTCATGCTGGAATACCCATCCACGACCAATTTTCAATGTCCTGGCTGAGGAAAGGAGGTTCTCACCCAAGATTTGACGGTACATGGCCCCGTCCATCGTCCCTTTGATGCGGTGAAGTTGTCCTGTCCCCTTAGCATGTTTCCACCTCCATGTTTGACGGTGGGGATGGTGTTCTTGGGGTCATAGGCAGCATTCCTTCTCCTCCAATCACGGCGAGTTGAGTTGATGCCAAAGAGCTCGATTTTGGTCTCATCTGACAACAACAATTTCACCCAGTTCTCCTCTGAATCATTCAGATGTTCATTGGCAAACTTCAGACGGGCCTGTATATGTGCTTTCTTGAGCAGAGGGACCTTGCGGGCGCTGCAGGATTTCAGTCCTTCACAGCGTAGTGTGTTACCAATTGTTTTCTTGGTGATTATGGTCCCAGCTGCCTTGAGATCATTGACAAGATCCTCCCGTGTAGTTCTGGGCTGATTCCTCACCGTTCTCATGATCATTGCAACTCCATGAGGTGAGATCTTGCATGGAGCCCCAGGCCGAGGGAGATTGACAGTTATTTTGTGTTTCTTCCATTTGTGAATAATCTCACCAACTGTTGTCACCTTCTCACCAAGCTGCTTGGCGATGGTCTTGTAGCCCATTCCAGCCTTGTGTAGGTCTACAATCTTGTCCCTGACATCCTTGGAGAGCTCTTTGGTCTTGGCCATGGTGGAGAGTTTGGAATCAAACAAACTGAGATTAGGAGCACTCCCTTTAAGAGTGTGCTCCTAATCTCAGCTCATTACATGTATAAAAGACACCTGGGAGCCAGAAATCTTTCTGATTGAGAGGGGGTCAAATACTTATTTTCCTCATTAAAATGCAAATCAATTTATAACATTTTTGACATGCGTTTTTCTGAATTTTTTTGTTGTTATTCTGTCTCTCACTGTTCAAATAAACCTACCATTAAAATTATAGACTGATCATTAATTTGTCAGTGGGCAAACGTACAAAATCAGCAGGGGATCAAATACTTTTTTCCCTCAGTATGGTAGTACTGTGTACTGCACCAGACACTTTGTAACTGTGTGGGTGGTTTCTTAGTTTGAGGGTCAGATATTGAGTAAGGCCAGATCGATTCTGCGTGCACAGTGTCCTAAGGCCTGCAGAAATTATTTGTACTGAGGAGGAATTGTCGTTAATTCAAGCGAGTCAAACATTGCCACAAAATATGGATCTATTCTGCCTAGAACATTGATCGTCTCGTCTCGTCAAATATGTAGGCACCAGCTATGAAAGTATCGATAAAGGCATTTCAGAGTTTGATTCTGGCGCACGTTAAAGATGGAATCCGCAGTAGGGGAAACAGTTCCACTGTGCGCCCCACCGCCGTTGTTATTGATATTGTTTTGTTGACAAAGCGGTGAGGAGCGTTGCGAGACGTGGTAAAACCAATGTGCAGTACATATTCTGCTGTTCTATCGAGGGAAGAAAACAGTTTTCATTGTTTGCAGTAACTTCTTTGTTGTTGTAATATCACAAAAGACAGTTTCACCATTAAGGAATCCAGCTTTAAGTAAGCAAACTTATGGAATGTTGCAGATAGAAATGTCATGAATACAGTGTGCTCCTGAAAATCTGATGTAGCTTGTGTCATGAAAAAAGTAGCCAGCTAGGGGGGTAGCCAGCCACCTAAGGGTTAGTAGTCAGCTATTTCGCTGCCAGCTGGCGCATATGTAAATAGAGTTCATGTGATTTCTTATTCTATATTAGAGACATGGAATTAGGATATGCTCAAGGGCGTCCCCTAGCAGGCGGTTTTGGTAACTGTGTCCTGGGTTCTGCTCCTTTTAGGGTGGAGATCTGCTGTCCCCGGACAGGGCCAAAGTCCTACTAGGGACCAAGTATACAGACGACAGCACCGGAATGGAGTCTCCTGCAGGGGTGAGTGGGCATCCTGCGCCGAGGTGAAGTTTCCCCTAGGTACAGCTTTAGGATCAACTTCCATTCCCCCAATTCTAACCTTAACCATAAGTGGGGGAAAACTGACCCAAGATCAGTGTCTAGGGACAACTTTACTCTACACAGGGCAACCTCTGGAGGATCCCTGTAGGCTTAACATATTTTGTGCTCTTCCAACGTGCTCTTTCTCTCTTTCTTTGTCTCTTTTGCTGTTCTCTCTCTTTCTCAATGGCTGGGCCAGTCTCTCTGTCTCCAGATTTCTAGTACCTCTCTCTTTCTTTCCACTCTGTCTCTGTTTTTGCCTGTCTCTTTGCCTCAACTCGCTCCTGTTCTCTCCTTTGATGTCTGTCGTTCTCTCTACCGGTCTTTATTTTTTTTTAATTCTCTCTCTTTCTCACCAACCATGTTTCCATCAAACAATTTTTGTGAGTAAAGTACCTGTCGGATAGAAAAACTCATGACAGGCCTGATGGATTCAGCAATTGTCAGTAAACATTCCTAAAATGTAGACAGAACAAAATACGGTAGACATGGTTGGATCACTTTTTGGTCTGTGAAATAGATCAGGGGTTCCCAAACATTTTGCTTCTCGCTCTTCCCTCTCACTCTGCGCTGCTGTTTTGTCCATTATCATAAATCAGCTCCCATCTATCTTCCACTCGACCAATTTGATGCGAACAAGAGGACATTTACACTGTTACCACAAAGACCTCCATTATTACACGCATACATGCACACACACATACATTGTGTACACACACACATACACACATGAGCATGCACTTACACACACACACACACACACAATGTATACACACACCGACACCACTCTGAGGCCCAGGTCCAGCTGGCTGTAGAGAGGGCGTCAGCGTGCGTATTGGTCCGTGAGAAGAGCAGTGCTTCACAGACTGTTTGTTATTCTTTACCGTTGTCTGTCGCGCTCCGATGCCTCCTCTGCACTCGTTCACCCCAGGAACCCCGGCAACGAGGGGCACCTGACGACGCATTTCTTGAGAGAGAGAGAGAGAGAGAGAGAGAGGGAGAGAGAGAGTGAGAGAGTGAGAGAGTGAGTGAGTCTGAGGGGGCTTGTGTTTGGGGCCCAAGGACAGGATGTTCAGTGGCCAAACACATGATACTTACATGCACACACTGAGCTTCATGTTAATGTGTTCACGGACATCTGCCAGGCGTTATGTGATGTTGTCACGTTCACCATGACAGCACATTGAAATGCATCGACAATGGGTACCCTGCACAGAAATAGCTGATTTCTAGGTACTGTGTGCATTTCATAATCTGTTACGTATTGGTTTTGGTTGCTACCTCTTGGGCATGGAATCAATGAAAATATTATCACAATGGGTGCGTCCCAAATGGCACCGTATTCCCTTTGTAGTGTACTAATTTTGAACAGGGCCCATAGGGATCTGTTCAAAAGTAGTGCACTATTAATCGAATAAGGTGCCATATGGGATGCAGATAATTGAGTTCACCTGTAAAACAGGTGTTCTCAACTCGCACAGGGTGAACCTTCATGACTTGTGTCTCTGGTGTCAGTGAATTCCCACTGACAATACCAACTGTAAAGTGTTAATTAATCTCTAGGGAGAGAAATGAACCAGCGGTAACATGGTGCCGCAGATGGAAATCCATGGAATGAATTAAATACCCTGTACATTCCTATTGAAAATATATTTTGAACTATATTTCTCCCATTATGTACAGGACGCAGAGGATGAGGAGACTAGGGCTGGCACAGGGCCAGGGGAGGCTAACCCCAACCCCACCCCCACAAGCTGGGACCTGAGCACGGACAAACTGCCCGGCACAGTGGCCAAACTCTGCAAAACCGAGTCCCAGACACTCATGTCGCCCAGGTAGCCGCCCACAAGCACAAACGCTCACTTGCATTTATGACATTTATGCATTCACGCACACACAGTCACACACATAGTCACACACATAGTCACACACACACGCACACACAGTGCTGCTTATTAACCTTTACACTCTGACTAAACAAGGATGGGTGTGCACGCTTTATTCCAACCCAGCACTAATATACCTGATACCACTAACTGTGATCCAGATTGATCATGACTAGTTCATTATTTGGAACTGGTGTCTCAGTGCTTGGCTGGAACAAAAGCCTGCACACCCAGTAGCTCTCCAGGCCCTGAGTTGGATAAGACACATTCCCTAAATAAAATGGATGGGATGAGAGAGAGAGGGGGAGAGAGGGAAAGAGAGGAAGAAATCAGGTCTACCTCTCTGATTCAGCATCTGGTATCTTGGTTGTTCAGCGCAATACAGTGATTTCCCCTGCTACACCTATCTATAAACAAACTAATCAGCAGAAGGACGTCCCCTAGCACCACTTCCACCTACGCGTCTGATGAATCAAGGTCAGATCCATTGAATAAGCAATCTGCCTAGTACAGACATTGCACATTTGTCTTTGTACATTTCTCTGTTGTGCAAGGATAATTTAACTCAACCATGAATGTGTAGCTAGCTAGTAGCAACCACATAGAGAATGCGTGGCAGCCATTTTGTGCTCACAAAATGTTTCCAGAACAAAATCTTGAAAAGCTTTTGCTGTGGAGAGTCAAAGGGGATGATTAGATGGCCAGGATTGTCTGAGGAGTTCTGCTGTAGGCATATCTACAACTTAGTATTTGTGAAGATTCTTTTTTTTACTAAGATTTCTCAGCAGTGGCTCAACCTGGCTCAGTTGTGGCTCAGTGCTTCATTGGGTCCGTGCCTGTTTGTGGTCCACAGTAAAACAGAGAACAAGCTGCAGAGGCGTCCTAGGAGCACGTCCATGAAGGACCGACAGAACTCCAAGGCCCAGAGTGACAGGACCAGCAGCATCGACAGCGAGACATCCCCGGAATCCAAGATCGCTGTCCAGGTGTGTGTGAGTGTGTGCGCAATAGTAAAGTAAGCTTGTGTGTGTGTGTGTACAAGATGTACATATGTGTATACAGATAGATCATCTCTTTGACTTCTGCCTCTTCCTCCGCCAGGTCCCCAGGAAGTCCGTGTACGACCAGCTGAACCAGATCCTTATCTCTGACGAGCAGCTCCCCGAGAGCATCATCCTCATCAACACCATAGACTGGCAGGGCCAGGTAGGCTACCTCTGTGTGCCTAATGTTGTAAGAACAAAGGGGCACTATCTGGTCGTAGAAAAGCATTCTAAACAGTTGGTATCCACATGGTACCAAATGGTGCACTTTTTGGAAAGATACAAAATCGTAATTGCAGTATTGTATAAATACTATGAAATGACCCTCTTACCATATTCTTTCTAGTGTATTATGCTACTCATTCTATCAGTAGTATTTGCATCAGCTGTGCACTCAACAAACATACTCCTTTTAGGAACATGCGCAAGATCAGGTATTTTTAGACATTCATATCTCTAAGCCTAGCTGGAGAAAGGCTTAGCAATCAGGGGGAATCCATTGCTTATGTGAACATAATGCAACTCTGAAGCATGTGCACTCACAAACACAGGCGCACGCGCATGTACACTCACACGCACAGACCTGAGGTCTTCTGAGTCGGCTTCTGGCTGACTAGCTCAGTTGATCCCAAGCCCCCTCTCACCTCTGTCTTGAAACCCCTTTCACCCCTTTTCTCGCTCTCTCTCTGCCCCCTCTCTCTCTGTCTCTCCTTCCCTCCCTGCAGTATCTATCTGAGATTCTCCATGAGCACAGCCAGCCTATCGTGTGCACCATCTCTGGTGCGGATGTCCATGCAGCCTTCAACACCATCGTCACCAGGATCCAGAGATTGTAAGAACTTGCTTCCTCTGCAGAACATGGTCTCTTTCTAATTCAATGGTTGTAGTTGAGAGAAATACATCTATTTAACTTTAACTTGGCTTCATTGTAAAAATGTACCGGTTTCTTGTAGACTTTTTAATGTGAATTTAAATTCAGTGGTCACCAAGGCAAGTGGATCTTATGATGATCATGATTAGGGACGTAACATTTTTGATATGTGAAACGTTTTGGTAGCCCTTTCCATTACAGTGCAGAATAAAGGCGTCATAACATGGTAATAAAGTGGAAACAAGTTACTGTTTCTCGTAATGTTTTTTCCCCACTTCTCTGGCTAGCTGTAACTGCAACGCCCAAACACCCCCCACCATCAAAGTGGCGGTGGCCGGAGACCAGAGTTACCTCAGCACCATCCTCAGGTGCTTCGTGGAGCAGCTGGCCAACAAGACGCCTGATTGGCTCAGCTACATCCGCTTCCTGGTCATCCCTGTCGGTAAGCAACAATTCAGCCAATCGCCATGGAGTCCAAGGTCGGGTTAGTCGTCAATTCCATTTAAATTCAGTAGATTTAGGGGATAAATTGAAACTCTCATTTGTGCATTGAAAAAGTCCACAAACTGTAGAAAAGAATGGCCTATTTCCAATTCTGCACGCATAACTCATGACTCCAATAAATCATGCATTGATGTCAAACGGAAAACTGCACGCAAAACAATAGTTACAGGAACAGATCTGATATAGGACCCTGGGTATCATAGCAGGCTAACAACATACAGACTAGAAACGTTTTCCTGTTTCTAATCAGTCTGCTCCTCCCTCTGCAGGCACTCACCCTCTGGCCAAACACATGTCTTCGTTCGACAGCAAGTTCAACAACATCTTCATGGACGCCGGCTGGAGGGACTTGTTTGGCAGACTGGAGGCCCCAACATCAGGTACGGCAGACAGCTAGAGCAGCAATCACTTACTATGAGCCACAATACCATGTATGATAGGGATCTACTCATAATGCGTCATAAATGCAGTTATAAATGTATTTGTATTTATTAAGAATCCCCATTAGCTGCTGCCAAGGCAGCAGATACTCTTCCTGGGGTCCTGCAATATTAAGGCAGTTATATACTATTTAAAATATTACATGACATTACATTTCATAAAACCTTACCCAATACATTTAGTGTGTTCCCTGAGGCCACTACTCCACTATCACATATTTACAATACAACATCCATGTGTAGAGTGAGTGTCTAAATGTATGTGTATGTCTCTTCACAGTCCCCACTGTTCCACAAGGTGTATTTTTACCTGTTTTTTTAATCTGATTCTACTGCTTGCATCAGTTACCTGATGTGGAATAGAGTTCCATGTAGTCATGGCTCTATGTAGTACTGTGCGCCTCCCATAGTCCGTTCTGGACTTGGGAATGTGAAGAGACCTCTGGTGGCACGTCTTGTGGGGTATGCATGGGTGTCCGAGCTGTGTGCCAGTATTCCAAACAGACAGCTCAGTACATTCAGCTCGTCGACACCTCTCACAAAAATAAGCAGTGATGAAGTCAATCTCTCTTCCACTCTGAGCCAGGATAGACTGACATGCATGTTAGCTCTCTGTGTACTTTTAAGGGCCAGCCGTGCTGCCCTGTTCTGAGCCAACTGCAATTTTCCCAGGAACATCTATCAGCATTATGGTGCATTATGCATCACAAGTCTATCTAAATGTTCTTAAATGTACTAGTTTGTTATAATTATTATATTGTGTTTATTATTAAAAACATTATTACAAAAAATATAAGTTATTATTTATGTACAGGGTATTCATAGCAGGAAGTTTTATAAAATATTTATTTAAGTGTAATATGCTCACATCCACACAATATTAGTATATTATGATGCTTCTACTGTTGCCTTACTGTAGGTGTTGTATGATAATACAATACATGAATAATAATAATAATAATAAATGGGATTTAAAAAGGGTGTAAAAACAAAAACATGACAGGTTGTGCCCTCCACTTTGTGTTTCCTCAGACAACATAGATGTGGCAGGCCGCGTGTCTCAGTACCTGGCCGGGGCAAGCGTCTCGCACCAGTGTCCCATCTCTGAGGCCATGCTCACCTACAAACAGAAAAGGTAAGGTGTGTGTGTGTTTGCAAGCATGCGAGTGCAGCATGAATGGGTGATATTTAAGGGTGTGTGTGTGCGCATGCATGCGTGTGCGTGTGTGTGTTTATGAAATGTCTGGTAAAATGTAGATATTGTGTATGTAGATATTTTTGTATGCTATTATTCTCCAATAAACTATATTTGGATGATCTATTGTATTGCAAGTTCTCCCTCTACACTTCAGATGTGTCTATTTAGTGGTTACATTCTCATGAATGCATTTTTGGAAAAAGCAACACCAGTATTGCTAATTTCAACCACATTCAATCATATTCATCGACAACATTCGCTTATTCAAATTAGCACCGACAGAATATCAACATGTCGACTCCACTTTGACGGCACATATTTTGCGACAGTTGACTGATAACTCATGAACTCATGAAGAAAGCACAACGACGACTCGTACCATTTTACCACACTGAGTTTTTCTACCTTTTTCTTTCATTTGCATTCAAGGAAGAGAAGCTTGTATTTTGATTTTTACATCAGGTACCTGGCCGCAGCCTTTCGTTTGACCCCGCCCCCTTGCTGTGTTGCATTTTGTCCACCAATATAACCTGTAACCCCTTGTTGTCTAATGTCTAACTCACCCACACATCACTCACTGTTCGTCTTAACTTCATATCTGGTCTGCATCGACTACCCCCGTATTGATTTGAGTTTTTGCATGTCTTAATGTCTTAACCACTTGTTTGTCTGGCTTGGTTGGCTTTTGGTTTGGATTTGGTTTGGATATGTGGATTTTGGATAATATACAACCGCATTAAAGGTACAGTCAGCAATATTACATCATCATACACTGCGGGGTGACTTCCTGCTTACAGAAGTCAACAACAAAAGTCAAATCTGCCAAGGCTGCCATTATTGGATCTTTCCAATGCCGGCATGCCTTAAAGGAGTGCCGAAATTGCAAATTGGGAAAAGCCAATAGTGGCCGTCTTGGTGGATTGAAACCCTGTTATCGTTGAAGTCTGTAAGCAGGAAGTCGCCCGCTGTGGTTGATGAAGTCACATTGCTGACTCTACCTTTAAGGTCTCCCACACACTTTCCTCTTTAAAGTTGGGAACAGTAGGGCAAACTGTTGACGCCATGAGATCTAAGAGAGAAAGGTTGACATTGATGTGTTCTTTCCTATTTCCTCAGAGAGAGAGAGAGAGAGAGAGAAGGGTGAGGACATCAGGAAAGAGGGGATAAGACAAGATTAAGAATAAGGTGGAGGACGAGTGTAAAGAAGGAGAGATGACAGTGGAGATCTAATTAGGTGGTTTGAAGAGATGGAAGGAAGGCGGGAGGGAGGAAGCGTGGGTAGTGCGGAGGTAGAGAACACCAGCCACGTGACACACTCTCTCACGCACACACACACACGATACACACACCTGCGTGTGTGACCGTTATTTTCAAATCTCTGCTCAGATGTCACTGTTGACCCACCTCAGAAACAATTCTGGCCTTGTAAGAGTGTAATGAGACACACACACTTTAAATCCACCAGGGAGGATGAGCACGTAAACATTTAAAGGTCACCTTATCAATGACCAGGCGAATAAAAGGCGCAGTGCACTGTATTATAGACACAAAGGGGCACTGAAGGGTGACTTTTGATTGGCTGATCCCGGTCTCCCCTTGGTGACAGGGACAGAGTCCACTGAGCATTGTCACAACATCGAGTCTGAACTCTGCAGAGAGGGTTAATGCTTTCATCTATCATGTGTTTTCAGATCAGTGCCATTGAAGAACAGGAGACCAGGAGAGGAAGCCGCGTTAGAATATTGAGACGCACCTGCAGATTATCCTAGATCAGGGCTCTCCAACAATGTTGCTGGGTTGTTCTTGCTCCAACCCCAATTATAACTAAACTGATTCATCAACCAGCTAATTATTAGAATCAGGTGCGCTAGATTAGAGTTAGATTGAAAACCTACAGGATCGTAGCTCTCCAAGAACAGGGTTGGAGAGCCCTGTCCTAGATAATATTCTGGTCAGATAGGCAGGGGAAGCTGTACTGTACACCAAGGGCCCGACTGAGTTTGCTTACTGTGCAATGTTTGTACCTACTTGTCTTCTTTCTCTTTGAAAAGCAAGGGTGCAAAGTCTCAGATGTGTATACTCAATATTTTAGTCAATGCTTCTTCCATCTCTAAAAACTCTAGAAAACCCTCAATGCTACTCTCAAGTGTGTCTCGCGAGGGAGATGAACTTGTCATGCTCTGTTTGTCCTACCTCTTTGCTGTCCTAACATGCTTTTCTCACAGCTCTTTTAACCATGTTCTCCAAAAATACACCCTCTCTGGCCTCATTTTGCAGGTTATTTTGGTTTTGCACCAGCCATATCCAGCTTTTTGAGCTAATTTGTAGGAGATTTGTGAGTAATAGGCCAGGATAGCTTTGGTAAGACGACGGCAGCACTACCAACTTCACAAATAAGTAGTTGACTGGGACCGAACATATGAAATATGCCAATTGTACTTTAACCCTCTGTCTATAAAGACCCCTTTACAAATACTCCCATTGACATCAATAAATGACTAAGTGAAAATGTACCTAAATGGAAGTTAGGATTTGCCCCACAATGTATAGCGGGTGTGCACGGCTCTGGTCCTTGAGTGCCATAGTTCTGTAGATTTTCGTCCTTGTTGATTTTTTTTTTCAGACAATCAGTAACCTCAAGTACTGAGAAACCAAAACCAGTGGGATTGCAGAACTCACCCTGTATATTGGGTTCACATTCAATGTCACCAACCATGTTAACCCCCTCACTCACTCCACCCCTCCTCCACTGCTCACGTCACGGCAGGCTTACAATGCACCTGTTTAGGGGTCAGTTGTAAGGAGCGTTCCCTGGCATTCCCATCACGGCATGATCTTAATTCCCAAAATGTATCGGGTTTTCCAGAACCACTTGGGAGCTGCCATGTCTCATCAATTCCGATTGGACATGCCTTAGCCACACACACACTCACACTCATTCTTCCTTCAGACCCATCACGCCACCACATCCAAAACAGGGAGTGTGTTGATCCTGGAGCGTTGCGTTAACGCGAGACTAACGTTATTATGTGTTATCCATTCTCTCTCCCTCAGCCCTGATGAGGACTCCTGTCAGAAGTTTGTGCCATTTATTGGGGTAAGAATATTCACTTGCAACTAAATAATGTGAGCGTTATCTTTCAGCGCTTATCTCCAGTTAGACTGGCAATTACCTGTCATTTATTTGAAGCTGTAACAATAATACACAAAGAGAACAGATTTTTATTGATAGCTGCTTTATTGAGGAAAGTTTTACTTGCAATGACTGTGATATGTGGTTGTTCTTTTCTTACACTATATATACAAAAGTATGTGGACACGCCTTCAAATTAGTGGATTCGGCTATTTCAGCCACACTCGTTGCTGACAGGTGTTTAAAATCGAGTACACAACCATGCAATCTTCATAGACAAACATTGGCAGTAGAATGGCCTTACTGAAGAACTCAGTGACTTTCAACGTGGCACCGTCATAGTATGCCACCTTTCCAACAAGTCAGTTTGTCAATTTCTGCCCTGCTATTGCTGCCCTGGTCAACTGTAAGTGCTGTTATTGTGAAGTGGAAACGTCTAGGAGCGATAACGGCTCAGCCGCGAAGTGGTAGGCCACACAAGCTCACAGAACGGGACCACTGAGTGCTGAAGCTCATAGCATGTAAAAATTGGCTGTCCTCTGTTGCAACACTCACTACTGAGTTCCAAACTGCCTCTGGAAGCAACGTTAGCACAATAACTGTTTGTCGGGAGCTTCATGAAATGG